GGGGTAGAAAATAATGTTTTAAGTTAAATACTTATATTGGTAATGTAGATTTATAAAGTGTAATTATGAATTTGTAATATCTTGGAGGCAATATATTATGTATATTTTTCACCATATCAATAAATTTATTCTCTAAAAATGTATAAATCATGCGTCTTAATTTCTTTTGGAGTATTTTTTATGAGTACTTTATTAATAAATTTATTAATTATTGTTTTTATTAATTTTATGACTAAAAATACAATAATAACATAATGCAAAGATGAAGAAAAATGTTTAAGAAACAATATATAATTGTATCATAAAATTAATGAATTTATTATAATTTAATTTTTTATGCAGTCCCTCGTTTGTATATCAGAAGAAAAAGAATAAAACTAAAAAGAAGCAATCCCTCCTTCTTTGATAGGATAGAAAGTAAATTAGCAGAAGCAGAGAGAAGGAAACCATAACAAATAAAATGTGCAAAAACCAATCAAACAGAATCCCTAATATCTTTGCATGCAAAAGAATGTCTGGGGGGGGCAGGCAGTCAGTTGGCCTTAAAAGACAACTCCACACATGGAGAAGAGGATAGGTGAGGGGTGAGGAGTTTGGTTTTCGAATTCCAAGGGAGGTAGCTAGCAGCTTAACTGCCTAAAGGTGACCTCTGCTGGGGCGCTTATGCATGTGCATTTTTCAGAGCAACAGGCTGCAGAAAAGGGGGAATGGAATTGGGAGAGAGAGAAAAGGAGAGATGATGAATTGATGAGAGTGACAATTCCAAATGCATTGGTATTACGAATAACAATTGGGGGGCGTGTTTGGTTGGTCTCTATCCCTATCCTTTCGATTTTGACTCTTCTACCGACGCTGTACTGTATACATTACATACCGCCTTGATCCTTCCTACAAATTAAATCGACAAACAAACATATGTACTACCGCAATTACTCGGCTCTGGATAGAGCAAAAATATATATATATATGTATTAAATTTAATTCTTACCAACCGGGCTTGAGGCCCAATGGTTGGTCTCAAACCTTAGAGTTTGGGTGAGGTAGAGGTCAGGCTTCGAGCTCTGTCACCGCCGTGAACTCCACCAACTTGCAACCTAATGGTTGCGCACCTCTTATGAGGGGGTGAAACGTCCTGGAAAAATTACAGCTACCAACACACTAACTCTACTAACTTCCTAACCATCTACTTGGTCAAAAAAAAAAAATTCTTAAAAATAATTAAAATTTTAATTTATATTTAAAGTTTAAAATTTTATTTTATTAAATATTAATATTTAAAGTTTAAAAATTTATTATATCTTTTAATATATTAATATTTAATAAAATAATTTTTTAAAATTTAAATTAAATTTAAATTAAATAAAATGACGTAATTTAAAATTAAAACTTCAATTTTTTGTTTGGAGTCAAGACTGATATATACTTATATATACTTATATATATTGGTTTTAAGATCATATAATTTTTATTTTAATTGATAAAATAGTTGATATTTGTTATTTAATTAAAGTTAATTTAAGATAATGATTGGTATATATTTTAGTTTAATACCTTAAATAAAAAATTATTTTTTTAATATGAAATTAAATACAGATAAATTTTAAAATACAATCATGTATACAAGATACATAAATTGATTAAATTAA